AAAAAAAAAAAAGAAGAAGAATTTCATATAGTTTTTATAATTTACAAGGACTTCAGTTTTTCGATGTATGCATTAGGTTTTCATCTGTTAAAAAATGAAAGTTTTGATTTGATGATTTTGCTTGGCAAATGGCTCTGAGACAAATATATGCATCATTACTGACTGAATCTTTTCTTCATTAGAGATTATTAGAAATTCAGATGATGGCAAGTAGTCTGTTTACCTTTTCCTTATATGCAAAGGAAACTATCTTTTTGTTAACAGAAGGATTATAAAATAAAGCAATGCAGTATTCTCATTTCAAGCACAATCTTGTGAGGGACCGGTGGTTAGGGATTATGTTCATCCCATACGTGCTGTTATACTGCAGTGTAAACTCATAACACTGGAGACTAAAGAACCTTCATTAGAGTGTGAAAAACTCAGCTTATCCCAACTAAATCTAGGCATGCTGAGATGGATTATTAGGAAAATGATTGCCATGGCTTCTCTGTGTAGTTTTCTACTTAAAAGGATATGAAAGTCCAGAGATGCTTTCACATACTGCTCAAATGTTTGACTTAGAGTATTTTTAAAAAGGATATTTTGTAAGTGATACGTTTTGTGTTGTAGAACAATGTGTCAATAATATATTAAGCATATGTATTATTATTATTGTTGTTGTTGTTATTAACAGTTACACAGACTAGACATTTTCACTCCCAGTTTGTTTGGGGTGGTGCATGCTTTTCAGACTGATACAAGAGCTACGTTTTAAAAATAAGGTACACTACAAAGACAGATGTATTTAGAACTCATGGACTTTCTTTAACATGTCATATTAATTTTAGTTGAACCTCATGGTAGCCGTTAACTTATTAACAGTCAACATCTTAACCCTCTTTGCCAGCAATTTTCCATTAGATGTAAACTAAAACATAACTACGTCTTTACCTTTGAAGAGGTGAGGTTGTATTAAACTTCCAGTGGTCCCTTCTTCTGAATGTCTTCTGCTTTCCTTCTGAAAATCTATTACCTCAAATCAAAACTGGTTCAACACAATATTTTAATAAGTCGTCTTGCAGTATAATCTCACAAAAAAAAAAAAAGCCTCTAGAAATTCAGGACTTGTAGTCACTGGCACAACTGATAAAATTTAACAAAAAGCAAGTTCAAAAGCAGCTACAAATCATTAAGAACTTTCCTGTCATGGTTTTATTTTCACAGAAAATCTATATTAAAGCGTAACACAGGAAACCTTTTTCAAACTTTTAGTTTAATAGAGTTTTAAACTTCTTAAAATACCATTTTCCTAGTTTATGTAGTTAATTATATTACATTTTTAAACAAATGCTTAATTTTATTATTTTCTGCCAGTTTTCTTTGTTTGTCTGTGTATATGTGCATGTGTTTTTCCCATTGTCCTGGGAGACAACAGGTGCATACCCCACCCAATAAACATAGTCACTGAAGTGAGTGCATAAAGCATGTGTTAACACCATTAGTCTTAATTAGATTAGGTTTGAAAACAGTAAATAATTTGATTTCTGAATCTGCTTGAAAGATTAGCATCCTTTTCTTCACCATCCATTTAATAGTATTTATAAAACTCCAGATGTTTCCATTATGGTCCAGGATTTTGTCTTACAGTTTATGGTTTTGAAAGAAATGAAGAGGAGATGGTTTTAAGAGCATATAACACTAAACAAATAGTTAAATTCTTCTCATTCTGTGTTTTAATTATGGCAGACTATGTGGGAGGGAGAGTTTTCTGTTAACTGAATTCACATAGTTGAGAATATGTTTGATTTTTGTTTCCCTAGACAAAACCTGTGTATAATTCTGATAAAGAGCTCAGAACTCTTGATTGGAATGAGGGCTAGTCTCTGCTTCCAGTAAATGTGCACTGGAGAGTGTAGAAGTTGAGGGAGGACTTCCATTCTATAAGTAGGCTGTTTACTAATGGTGTAAAAATATAAATTACTGCTTTTTTGTTACTTCAGCAAATTGGTGTGGGCATACCAAAAGTTAAATTGAGAAAAAGGAGACCCAATGTACAGGTAACTTTGGATGGAGGTGATTAGTGCATTAGAATGCATAGACCTGGAAATACAAGTAGAAAGCTTCAGCCCTGCTTACTAGGAAAAATCTAACTAGGGAACTGTTTACTTTGACAAACAGCTTCCAAAGCATGAAGCTTGCATCCTTCCTTGTTTAAATAATAGAAAACATGTTATTGGCTGTAGTGAAGGGCGTTCCATTAAATTATCGTGCTTTACTAATAGGTGCTAATTAGAGCTGTGCTGTAAAAATTATTCTTCAGATTTTGAAATGAATTTGAAGATTGGGGAAAAGAAAAGAGACTACTTGTGCAGGCTTTGCTTGCATAAACCCGAAGTCAAGACAAGAACATTCTTACTGACGTTATTCCCAATTTTTGTTGTACAGTGTATGCTGTAATGCTGCACAGCATTACAGAAGTTGAATGAACAATTTAGGTTTTTTTCTGGGGAAGTCAGAGTAGAGTATATGTTTTAGCTGCTGTTTATATCAAGTTTCTTGGTTTAGCAAACCCAGCTCGAGAAGATTAACTGCCATTAATCTAAGGAAAAAGGAAATCAGTAATATTTATGTAATACAATCCCTGAGCAGAAAACACTTAATGAAAACTTAAAAATCATTGAAGGAATAGATAACTGTATAACTAGCAAAATAACAAAATTAGGTACAATATACCATGCTAATTTCTTACACATATGGGAATATGTAATGCAAACCCAGAGTCTTGCACAACACCACCAGTGAAACATGGTGTAAAATCCTGATCTAATTCAGTTCAATGATTTCATTGAGCCTCATGTGGCTGTGTTTATACCACATCTAGAAGACTACCTCTGGGCTAGATTTTTTTTTGATGCGCTGGAGAAAACAGCACTGGAACATAAAAACCTCTCAATTTTCTGAGCACCCCTGGCTCCTCAGCGTGCTGTGGTATGATTTGGCTGTTGCTGGGTTTGCCTGGCCGTGCTCGCTGTGGATGGGTTCCCATCCACTCCAGATGCTCCTGCATCTCCCCCTGGGGCCCAGGATTTTGGTCCTTCTTATGATTATTTATTTAAAAAGCCTAACAGCCTGTGTCTTCATTAGTACTGCAGATGTGAGTAGGAACTAGACTCCTGCAACTCACACCACAGAAGACTTGCATAGCATTTGTGAGAATACTGACCTCCCAAAACGTACAATTACATTTTAATGAACCTTTACGTTGCTGCACCAGTTCTTTCTTTTATTGTTTCCTACTTGATTTGTCATTGAAGCAATAGATCTTTGCGTTTATTTTTCATGCTGAAAATGGATTGCATTCCCTTTATTTGCATGCTTCATTGCTAGTGATCTACTTCTGTTTTGTTTTATTAAGTTGTGCTGGTGAATGTGGTGGTGTTGCGCTTATTCTAGTCATGTCGTGTGCATGACTGGATAAAGAGAAGAGCAAACTGAACAGTAAGTTTGTATCTTCATGGCTTGGAATAAACCCCATTAAATGGCAACCTTGGAAGAGAAAATTAGGGAGCCCAAATACTGGTAAAAAGACATTCCTGGGGGAAGAAGACATAGTGGGGAAAATATTCTTCCACTTAAAGTACAGGGCTAGGAATTTTCTATTCTAATTTCTAATGGATTTCCTTGTGCCTCAGGCACATCACATAGTGCATCTATACGTGCTTAGTTTTGTCATCTCTGACAAGCAATTAACAAGTACCTTATAAAAATGTGTGATGATATAACCTAATTCTTAAAACGAACAAGAATAAACTCGTTAATAAAAATGTATACTTGAATTTTGACAGACTCTTAAAGTTGACCATTTTGTCTTTGGGACTCCTTAACTGTGGCTAGCCCAGGTTATCATTTTTGAAATTAATATTGACCTTGATTTGATGCGGTGGCTTTTGTTTTTTTTTAACCATTTCTTTTCTTCTCTGTTCCTTTGTGTGTTGGAATGGAATGTGAACTTCACAAATGCCTCCTCTGCCATGCCAATGCCTTCCTGCATGCTGTTTGGGTTTGACCATGCTTTTCATTATCCATTGCATGTAAGAAAATGTATTTTGTAATTTATTTTTACATTTTAGCCTTTTGCTGTTTATTTAGAGAGTATGAATTATTTTTTGGGGGGAAAAAGCAATTGCATAACAATAATTAAACTCTCTTGAATTAGTAGAGAGCATGTGTCACTAGTTACTAGTTTTATCTGTTCTATACAGGTACATAATTTTTTAATTTATCAGTAGATATTTAAGAGAGATATCTGGAATCTTTGTCTGAAATCTTTTCAGTGCATATTCTCTTTCTGAGAATGATTTTAATGCTTTTCCTCTTAGCAGGCAGTAATTCTTACTTGCTAAGAAAAGGAATGATTCCATATATCCAGAAAGATGTACAGTTTTTCCTCAAGAATGTAAAGGAGTAATCTTTTGTCTTCTAACACCATTCTATATTATGATCTTGAAAATAAGGACTACTGTTAAGCTCTTAATATTTCAGACTATTATATGAAAGCATCTTTTACCAGCTATTCAGGACATCACTTTATTCCAGTACAAACGGGAAATACATACAGAAATTGTGATGAAACATGCCTGCATTCTTTCATAGAATAGTCACATGTACATTTGTCATTTACTTTTGTCAGAGAATGTTAGGATAGAAAGAACGTAATCCTCATTTTGAAAGAAAGGTCTTCAGTCTAGCCTGTAAATAAGTATAGCTGAATCACTGAAATCCTCTAAAAATGTCATTAGCAGAATTTACACTAGTCTTGAAAAAATAGTACCAGCTAATGACAATTTTTGTGCTGCTAATCATATGAGAGACAGTGCTCACTTACTGATAAAACTCTGCCTTGAGATCCTTTCTTGTATGAACTCTCTTATTACACAAAGCAAATTATTATCAATCAAAATAAATTACTGAAAGTGGACTCTTTTGATCTTCTATTCTAAACTATCAGATTTAAATAGTTAAATAATATATCTCCATTCTCTTTTTTCTAAAGATCCTTTGTTGGTGGGTGGATTAAATAAATACCAAGTGATGAGGATTGAGGATTTTTACACCACACATAATATAAAATCAATGGATGTCAGCCAAGATGACTCAAAAAAAAAAAAAACCAAGGTTGGATTCCTAACAACTCGTATGGAAGATGGCTCTGTCCCAGTAAATGCAGACTACAACTGAAGGGATTAGAGACTGGCGGGGGGGGTGGGGCGGGGCGGTCAAGGCACACAGG